CCCAGAACACCCACCCTAAGCTACAAAGCTAGCATGTTGGGGAAGGTCCGAAGGTGTTTAGGAGGCCTTTCAGGAACCGAGAATTTCCAGCTTCAATGCCCAGAACGCCGACCCGAAGTCACAAAACCAGCATGCTGAGTAAGGTCCAGAGGGCTTCAGGAAGATTTTCAGGAACCCTGAACTAGGATGGCCCTCTTAAAACCCTGTGAAGAACATGAGTAGGATCCTCTTGAAGCCAAGAAGGGAAACCATAAAATATCCCAAAGGCCTATCCCTAGTGAATTCCCAACCTTCAGCGCAAGCCCCTAAACCCTAAACCCTAAAAACTAAACCCGAAACCACAAAAACCTCCCGGCTCCATCGCCATTCCGCGGAAGCGGGCCTGAGCTCTTCGCCATGTCGCCCTCAGAGCCTCCACAAGGAGCATGAAACCTAAACCCTAAACCCTAAACCCGAAACTGTTGAGATTTTCTGTTCTTGGTGTTCTTGCTGTGGCTGCTCTTGTTGCTGCTCTGAGACGCTGCTCTTGCCGCTGTCGCCACAGGAGCTCCCTTGAACTCTGGAGACTCCGCCTCGGTTCTCTGACCCTTCGAGATCGTCGGACACTCGGAAAACATCGTTTCGTGTACCGTTGCGGGGGTGCATCCTCTTCGAGAATGTTGTGCACACTCAAGGGCTGGACGTGAGGTTTGATGGCCAAGCATCTGGGCCCAAGCTCTTGTTGCGGGGGTGGAGGGGGCGGGGGGGAGGTGGATGACGTCACTTTCGCCGAGCGTCTATGCCTGATTCTTTACATGCAAAGTCCACGAAAATATCGATGTTTTCGAAGGTCCGACGGGAAACGCTGGAAAAACAAACGCTGCTTGGCTTGCACTTCAGTTGACAACGCCCGAGTCCCCTTTAATTCTACGGGTTCCAAGTATGGGCCTTGCTATATAGCCCTTACACACACTATGCATACTTCGAATCCCTATGAACAAGGGTAAGGGACCATACTAGGGGACCATGGTTCCAACCTTATGTTCATCGATGGAGCCCTAAACCCTAAACCCTAAACCCTGAACCCTGAACCCTAAACCCCAAACCCTAATCCCCCTTCTTCATCGATGGCGTGGGGGCCGCGCCTTGCTTTGCCAAAGCCAACATCTGCTCGAAGAGCTCACTAGCACCTGGGTTGGGTGACTGAAGGCCCGATAGCCATGTATCGTATAGGGTTTAGGGCTTAGAGTTATAGGGCTTAGGGTTCAGGAGCACTAATGGCTTTAGGAGGCTTTCTTCTCTGCTAGCTGCGGCCCTGCATAAACGACAACTGGATACTCAACAAGCCCTAGTGGACGCCAAAACGTGCATCGCCAGATCTACATGAAGATGGTCTTCCCTCTTCTTCCTCAGCTCTCACTCGCTCAGCCACTTGTTTTGCCAGTCTCATGAACGCCTAACAGTGCCTAACAGGCAGGACGGCATGCGCGTCTGACATGAGGGCGTGTCTACTTCGTCTGCAGTGCTCTTCACAATGTGGTTTTATTCATGTGCGCGCTACGTCGCGCTACCAACCTTGCAGCCTTATGGGCTCAGCTTTTAAGGGCTAGGATCCAGTGTTAAAGCTAGACTAAGTAGCCCTGAAGCCATGACATATGTTGCTCTACCCTACAGGCTCTTCTCGGAAAACAGAGCGAGACAGCCAAGTTCTCGAGCTGAGCACCAGCATCAGGCTGGAACTCCGGGGCATCGGAAGATAGTGTGGACGTTGCAGCATCTGCTGGCACCTTGCAGAGCGTGTTTTGCTTGCACGTGTTCAGGCTAGACTTGGCAGGCCAAGCCCGGATTTTGGGGGCGGAAAAAGAAAGAACCTCGAAGCGGATGCAACTGTTTGCAACTTTAATGTTCATGCTTACTAGCCGACGTTGTGGGATAGATATCTGCTGGTCTTGCCCTCACTGCCGTAGAGGCCGCCGTCCATGCAGAGATCGGAAAGCACTCGTTTGCTCTGATTAAACAATCGCAACATGCCTCAAACCCCAGGCGCATGATTCGCATTCTGGAATGCAAGTCTCCCAGTATGATCACGGGTAGGAGCAAAGTCGTATGCCTCCTACTATATAACAAATCCAAAAACAATGCACGCATAGAAGTTCAGTTCATGACCCGAAGCACTTAACTTCAGAGCCATTGTAGACGATTGCGTGAAATTGGCCATATTCTACACCGACCGTTGTTCCTTGTCAGCGCAGGGCTCAAGACAAAGGTTGGTGTGCTCCACCCTTCACGTCGCGTCCACGTCATTGTATTCTATCGTTGTAACTGAATGCTGCCCTTGGCAGAATGTTTGTCCGGCATCATAGTCGGGATGAAGATGCGATTCGTTACTGAAGTAGGATTCAGGGAAGCCAGAACTCTGAGCAAACCCTGCCAGCCTTGCTAGCAAATTCCTCAGGCACGGAGAAAGCGGGCAAATCCGGGTTCACGCCTTCGCGGTGCTTCAAGTGATCTTCAAAGGGCTTAAGGTTCGAGGTCATTCTGGGTTCCTCGGACGACTGCCACCTGCAAAACCAGCCCTGACATCGCCCAAAACTCGCTGCTAGTTGTAGCAGTGAAGAATCCCTATCAACCCCATAGCAGCCACCGAAAGCTCCAAGACTGAGCCAACTTGGCCCCAACGCTGCGAACTTCAACTGCAGCATTCCCCTCAAAGAAGAGTCACGAGATGCTTTCTCCTTAGGGGAGAAGGTTTTGGGGTTCCAGAGTTTTGGGGCCGTCCGGAAGATTGAATCGACGGGTGTCCCACCCCCAACCACGTAGCGAACTAGAACTCCATTTCTGAAACCTTGAGTGCTGAACCCAAGATATGATAACGCTTCAGGTTCTGGCAGTGGCAACGTACACGTAGCTGCGACACATGTTTCACGCTTCAGGCTTCGGACCTTCGGGGGGGGGGGGTAGTTGGTTGCTGAGACTGGAGCGTATTTTGTGTTGAGGAGCCAACAAAGATGCCCCCAGGTGGGGGTTTCCGAAATTAGGGGTACCTTGTTGCGGTCCTTCTCAGAATGGAATCCTGCCATTTGGGGGTCTATATTGGGGGTCCCCTATCTTTGTAAACCCCCAGGTTTTTTCAAAGAGAGGCTGAGTGCTGCACGCCGCCCAGCATCACCATTGGCCTAAGTACAAGGGCAGCAAACCAGGCGTACTCTTTGGGGTGTTAATTCTTCTCGCATATTTCTAATTGTATAGGGACCATTAGGGAATACTATGGGAAATTATTCCGACCCCTAGAGTACCAATCGCACTTGCTGTCCCGGGATAAGGGTTCAGGGCTTAAAACCCTACATCCCTTAACCCTAATCCCTAATAATCCCTAAACCCTAGAACCCTAAAACCCTAAAACCATAAACCCTACAACCCCAAACCCTAAACCCTAAACCCTAGAAAGACCAGTGGCGGCTGGCAATGCGCAGAGGCTCCGAGGTCTTCTTTTGGCTTGTAGTAAGGCGGTTTAGGGTTTAGGGTTTAGGGAAATTTAGGGTTAGTATTCAGAACAGGCCTCGGCCATACTGAAAGTGACCTGCTCCAGAATCAACTGGGGGCTTCCGAAACTAGGGGTACCGTATTGGGGGCCCTTAAACAAAGGGGGGGATCCGACTAGTTGGGGACCCTTATTTTCGTAAACCCCCTGCAACCCTCAACTTGTGCTGCAGAATCCCATGACTTGACTTCTTTTCCACTGCAGCCTGCGGGAAAGGCGCATGGAGTGAGCTTCACTGGAGCATCACCGAGGAGAAGTTTAGTGTCTCTTTGAGAATTTCTCGGATAAGGCCGTGCCTATAACCTTCATGGTTCACTCCTTGCACGTCGTGAGGATATGGACTTAAACCGGACTTCTTAGCTCTTTGTTCCGGTTGTTTCCTTCACTCCCAACCTGAGATTGCCGAAAGCCCTGTTTAACCCATGAGATGCGAACCTGCATCTGCCAGCTTCCCGACAAAAATGTTTGGCGGATTAACCGACATCAAACCCTCTGCCAAAAGGCCCAAGCAATCGACCCCGAAAACCTACATAAAACCGTCATAACACCTAACCCGCCTCCCGCATAAAGCCATCTCCAGAAAACCGATGTGTTAGCCTGCTGGCCTAGCAAGACACGAAGGAATGAACCGGCAGCAGTATAGGGTACGTTTTTAAATCCGTTTCACTACGTACCCGTGGCATGGAATCTCACGAGACTGCATCAGTAAACAACTCTCGGCTATGCTCTGAAGGAGCCCCTCCTCGGAATGCTGCAGGTGCTGCTGCTTCCTCTCATGGCGTCTTGGCAGTGCCACTGCACATGATAGCCACTTGGCTTAGCCAGGGGCTTCTTGCGCCATTGAAGACCCACGAACGTGTTGCCTTTACTTGCTTGGCCATGTTCGCAATCCAAAGCAGGCATGACCACCATCTTTAGATCCCGTCTTTGGTTCTGGGTCGCTTGAAGCATGATGAAAAGGCATGCGAAAATGCGCAGCCTTTTCGCAGGTCTCGCAAGGCCCAGATCACACAACCTCACAGAGAGGAGGCTGACGGCAGCTCTGCCTCGGGTTCCTCATGGCCCCTGAGCCGAGGAACGCCCAGGTCCTGGCTTAGGGGCAGTTGGGATCATCTCTGGACTCTGGGTCTCAAGTCTCTCAAGTTCCAGATTCTAACGCACACTCCCTCAGTATGCCAATATGCTGGCACCCTTCCCTTCCTGACCCCTTTGGCGAGACCCACAGTGTACGAACGTGGGTAACACCCGAAATCTAGCGTGGCATAACCTCTAGAGCATTGAGAGTTCTGCTTGCCTCCCAGATCCCATCGCAGCCTGCCAAAAACCACCCACCGAAACCCGAACACACGCACCCTAAGCCAATCGGACCCAGCACCAGCACGTAGCATCCTGCTCTTCATCCAGGTAACGGGTTCACGTCCTACCCCCACATCTCAAAAGCACTCAAACTTCTGAAGCCGAAAGACCCCCAAACTTCAAGTCAAAGCTTCCTCATAATCTTCACGAAAGCCTTGCACTAGCCCTGGGGGAAAGAGGAGATGCAACCCCACGAGGCGCCTCCAGGCTGGTCAAAGCCGCCCCGCCCTGCAGGTAGCGGCGGCCCACCAGTGTCTCCAGACCCGCCATTGCCTCTATGAGGGCTCTCGGGTTGGGGGGGGGGGGGAGCTGTGTGGTTGGGGGGTTCGCAAGGCCTTTGGAGTTTGATTCAGTCTCGTTTTTTTTTCAGACCTGAAGACACTTCATTAGCAGCCTTAGTACGGTTAAGGATGGTTTGGGCTGCAAAGCGGAGGCTTAGGGTTGAGATCAAAGAGTTCAGAAGGGCTTCAAGTGGAATCCCCAACCTTTAACCCCGAAGCCGCGAAACCTACTACGACTTGATGGCAATGATTTGCATCGAGATTTGTTCATACTCCGTGGCCTTGGAAACATCAGGAGGTGCATGTGTGAGTGATCGTGCGTGCGTCCTGCGTGCTCATGCATGATGGGTGCGTGCGCGATGGCGCGCGCGTGATCGTGCGCGTTTGTGAAGCCATGTGCATTCGGGTGCTGTACGCCGTGCATTTGGGAGCCAAGGCCTCCAAGAGTTTGCTGTCACTGCCCACGGAAGACACCTGCACACGAGCCAGCTTGTGGGATCGGTTCATTTTGAGGTTGTGGGTGGCTTTCATTACGAAGCTGGTAGGCTCGCCGCACTAGGCCTTCCGTTTTGTTGCAGCAAAGCTCCGGGCTTAGACCGGTGGGTGCAGCTGTCTGGTTTCAAGCTGGGCGGGGTTAAACTTGCTCTGTGCGGCTTTCAAAGTCGAACTCGGCACTTGAAGTTGGCACAGCGCGGAAGCCTTCATGAACATACAACTCACTTCCTTTTCCCGCACCATCATCCATGGGTTCCCCTACTACCCCCCTTTCTACTGCCCCGCTAGGTTCCCCCCTTAAATCGCCTTAGTTAGGCTCAAATAGCCTTAAATAGCCTTAATTATGGGGGGGGAACCTAGCGGGGGTAGTATAGAGTGGGGTAGTAGGGAAACCCATGAATCATCCAAGAACTCGCCATGTCTGAGCCCGACAAGTCCTCTCCTTCTTATCGGTCCGCCTTACAGTTAACTCTTTAGCCTCAGCACAGGTCTGTATGGCAAAGTTTAAGCTCGCCCCTGCATCCGGTACAAGTCTGTGCATCTGCTCGCTTTACTTCGTGTTGTTGGACTTAATGGAAGCACCTTCAATCAAAGGGCCGTGCCCCTCAACGGGTACCGCAACACACCCCTTTATTACCAAGCTCACGTCCGCGGAGAAGGATTCTTCAATGCGGATCTTGTCCAGCATGCCAAAGGAGTAAGAATTTTGGTGTCTTGTCCAGCATGCCAAAGTCGTGTACCAGCAAAGTCTTCCTGACAAACTTCAAAATCTCTTAGAAGCCCAAACCGCAAAACACGCAAAAACACCTTAATCCTACAGTACCCATATAGTGCTTATTGGCCCAATCGTACCTCTATAGTACCTTTTATAAGCCCTCTACAGGCCTCCAGCTTCTTGACCTCTGCATCCTCCCCAACACTCGCCGCCAATTGGGCACCCAAGCGGCCTAGGGTTTAGAGGAGGCTTTCGGGTAATCGGGGAACCGAAGAGCCTGCAGGTTCAATTTCTGAGTCTGTGATGTGATCAGTGCCGGCGAATTCCGAGTCGAAGGCTTGAAGAGCTTAGGGCTTGGGGAATGCAGGGCGGGCATCGCTTCACTTTGGCCTACGTTTTGCGCTTCACTTGGGCCTGCTCAGAAGTTTCAAGCTTGAGGCTTCGGGCCTGGGGTCTGCCAGTAGAGGTTGAGGGTTGTGGGCTTTGGGTTCAGGCGCTCGGGGTTTGGAGCTTGAATTTCAAGTTTGGGCTGAACGTTCAGGGGTTTGGGGTAATTAGGCTTGCGCACGAAATGGGGCTTGGGGCTGTAGGTTTCTTTTCTTTGCGTGTGTGCGTGCACGCGCGTGCATGCGCGCACGTGCGTGCGGGGCGTAAGTTCAGGATTTAGGGTTAGCATGCGCAAGCATTTGCTGGATGTTGAAACAGCCACATAAACATAAATTCAAGCTCGTAAGAAAGCCGTGGTCTTGAGAAGTATCCTGGTGACCCTGTTTCTGACTTGCGAGCTCTTGGGGCGCTCAGAAGTTGCATAGTTCACTGACCATGCTTCAGACGGTTGTTCGTTGCATCACTCCGATTCTGTTCTTGCCCACGACGAGCATAACCGAGGTTGCAGAAGGCCCATGCGAAACGCCAAATGTAGGCCCGAGATAGCCCAAGCGAAGAAGAAGATGCACGGCTATCATGGGGTAATTAGTCGTCTTCCAGGATATGGAACGAGTCAAGCAAACTCTCATACCCACCCACAAGCCCAGTTGAGCAAGGTGGCTGATCGCCTTCTTCCGGCGTCGGCGTTGTGCCTGCCACAGAAGAGGCTCGGGACTTTGAGGACAAGGACCCCGTCAAAAGTTCTTAAATTTCGCATGTAGCATTCCTTGCAACCACCGAAGGCCTCGAAAAACAAGATCTGCGTACTGGCAGCAGCACTTATGACTTATACGGTACAAACAGTCATCTTGACCCAAGACGCAGGGCCCTGCCCACCCCCCCCTCCCCCCGCTTAATTGACCCTTTTGACTCCTGCGCCTGGCCTCACTCTCGCGCTCCGCTTCCTCGCGCTCTCGGGCACGCTGCAGTGCCAGCTGTGAAGCACAAGCAGCCTCATGAGAACGTCGCGCCCCGACTGATGCATGTGAAGGTTGTGGCAACTGAGTTCGACAGGCTGGATCGGCAAGCCAACCGATTGCTGTGATCTCTCCCTGCAAGCACCGCTTTTCGTACTTTGCACTTGAAAGCTGTTGCCTGAGCTTTGCCATTCCCCCTGGCCTTTGCCTTGGGTCTGTTGCTTGCTTTACATTCCACCATGATCCACCATGCCTTGCGTCTCTTGGCCTTTTGGCCCCTTGGCCCCCTTGGTCTTTTGGCTCCTTTGCCCCCTGTGCCCCTTGGCCCCTTGGCGCGAAACATGCCATACAGGCTTTGGCCACGGCCTTCATGAACATCTTGGTATTGTTCCCATGTAAGCTCGCTACCGAACCTACTCTTGTTTCCGTAGGTTTGGCTTCGTTGGCTTTATGCCAAGAATGCTTAAGGACATAGGCACGGATCATAAGTGCGCAGGGTGCGGAGAGGGGCTTAAGGCTTTCCGATGGAAGCTCGGAACTTAGCCTCTGCATTGTCCATGGCATCGTCCAGCATGTCTTCGACCTGGTTCAGCACCAGAAACGTTTTGTTTCTTAGGGTTGATGCCGCTCAGTAGGGCGTGTCTTGACCAAGCCATTCTCATGTATGTCATGGCATCTAACGTCTATCCCTACGCCCGCCCAAGCCTTCATGCAGGATTCATTGGCTCTTGACACTTGAAGTCACTTGGGACAAGAGCTTACCCGGCTTACCCGGAGCCCATGTTGCGGACCTGGCGACCAGCCTCTGGCGCATGAGGGCTTACAGATGACAATGCGGCTTAGCGCATAGGTATCAGGACACGCCTGCCCAGAACACAGTCGCCAGAGGGCTTAGCATACATATCCCAAACCAAACAGACTGTAAAGTCAAGTTTATGGGGGGCCTCAAGCCCACTTCAAGCCTTACGAAAATCTACTGACCTTTGAAGTTGTTCATTCCAGTCTTTACCGGCAGCACCACCAAATGACTCTTTCCTGCTCCCTTGAAAGCCCCACAACTTTGGAAGGTAAACCCAAACGTTGGCTCGAGGGCATATCGTCTGAAAAAAAGCCACTTTAAACCTTGAGAGTTGTTGAAGTTGCTAAGGGCATCCGTCTGAGTGCCCCACTTGCACGAGCTGCAGCTCGATCTGCGCATTTGCGATGTTCCAGGCCTTCGACACAGTTGCCCGATGTAGTGGCGGTGAAAACGTCAACTCGTGCATTTTACTATCTCACCACTTGCGCATGGAGTTTGTTCATCTACTGACAGTCAGAATTGCCCCTGATCGACCTTTCATTCACACCCCCGTTTCACTACCACCTGCCCTCCTCCCTAGCACTTCTTGTCAGAACGCGTCGCGTGGCAGAATTAGGAAATTTGGCCGGTTTGAGGTGTTGGACGCTGATCCCCCATTGACCCCTTTCAAGGATGCCTCGCGCTGCTTCAGGCGCTGGAAGCGCCGCTGCGTGGCTGCACGGTCTCCGCGGCGCCGCTCCAGCTCGCGCTCGTAGGCCCGGGCCTGGCTAGGGTTTAGGGTTTGAAATTATGAAGGGGTCAGGTCCGGGGAAAGTTTCGCGGAGTTTCTGTTTTGGGTTCTTCCTTAACAATTTCAAGTTGCAGGGGCTTGAGGGTTTAGGGTTTAAGGTTCAGGGTTTAGGGTTGGGTTTTTGGGCTCAAGGTGGGTGTCAGGGCTTCAGTGGGCTTGGGCCTCTGAACTCAAGACAATCAGCTGGTAGGGTTTCGGGTTTAGGGTTTTTTGTTGAAGGTCAGCAGTCGTATAAACAACATGACTAGATGTTCGCGAAGCAGCTGCAAATGCTGATGCATGCAGCATTCATCGCTGTTTTCAAGCTCCAAATGCTCGCATTTCTCTCTCCCGTGTGCAAATTCACCATTTCTGGATGATGTCGAAGCTTCTATTTCATCATTATATCGAAGCTGTTGTTCCTGGATGTTCGCAGAGCTCGTAGTGCTCTCAAAGTCTTAATTGCAAAACTCCCCATGAGTTTGCAGCACATCGTCGAGGTGTTTTCGAGGCTTCAGGTGAAACATCGTCAGTCCAAGTGTGGCGTGTTAACACAAACATGTGGGACCTGTGAAAGAAGGCTAAACGTTGTGGTTTGTCATTCTTTGGTGAGTTTCTGACCATGTACACTCTCAAGTCCAGAAGCTACGGCCACCTCTAATGGTCTGTTGAGGTACTTGACTCAGTAAAGGGCCCACACGTACTTCAACGCTCTCTCCACAACAGCAGCTTTGAATGGCAGCAGCCGCCTCCTCTCTGAGAGAATTTGCTTCTTCCTGCAGCAGTGGTCCGGACTCAAACTGGATTTGCTTGCCACTCGCAACCAAACTCAACAAAGGCATGACTAACAGTCTGAGCGACAAAAACACTAGTATTCTTGAGCTTTGTACCTGACAAAGACTCCTGTATCCTCGGACCTCCCGAACAATACCCAAGTTCTTGGCACTTGAAACCCGGCTTGTCGATTTCTTCAGCCTCGACTGAGAATATGATGTCTTTATCGATGGGGGGTTGGGGGGCAAGGGGTTTATTCAAAACACAACTCCTTGATGGAGGTATGGTATTTTAAGGCGAAACCCTAAGCCCTAAACCCTAAGCCCTAAACCCCTAAACCCCAAACTAGAGCGCTGGTTCGGGTTTCGGGTGCCAAGGGCCTCGAGAATGGCCAATGCAGCAGCCTCGCGGCCAAGGCGACATTCGTGGTCCGCCAGGGCCGTGATCCTCGGAGTTTGCTTCACTTTGCAGCTTCCGCCACTATTTTAGTGCAGTATGGGTTTAAGGTTTAGGGTTTAGGGTTTTTGTGTTTAGGGTTTGGGGTTTTAGGTTTAGGGTTTAGGGTTTATGGTTGAGCTTTGCTCTCACTGCTTTGGGGCTCGGGGGCAAGGAGGTTTTAGATTTTCAGGAGGTTGCGAGGCATCTCTGGAGCTAGCAACGACTGAACGTTGGACATGACTGTCGGTGACTCGCCACTTGTAGACTCTGCTTGCCGACACCGCTGTGTGACTTGTACAGGACCCCCGAGCTCCAGCCAAAAAAGTTGGACTGTTGAGCCAAACGCACTACAGACCTCTACAGTATGGAGACGCCCTATGGAAGCCCTGTGAACTGTGAACTCGCTTCGGGACCTTTACTCCGGTTTAGGGTTTAGGGTTTAGGGTTTAGGGTATAGGGTTTAGGGTTTAGGGTTTACCCCATTTGCTTGACGGTCTGGGGTGATGGGTCTGAGCACAGCACGGCTCGGCCGTGCGGAGGCGAGTTGCTTTGGCTTTCATTTAATTCAAAAACACTACTACTGATAAGTCCAGCCATTCTCTTGGAACACCTTCTTGTTCACTACAGTAAAACACACAAACCCCAGCTTGACGTTCTGGTACCCCTGCCAGCGTCCCCGTGCTTTCAGGGTTTTAGGTTTAAGGTTTGAGGCTTTATAGTTTAACGCCTGGATGCAGTGACAGCACCGCTCGCGGATTCTAGTTGAGTCGCATGTCAGGCAGATCGGACGTTTCGTCGCCTGCGCAGCAGTCAACCACATGAGGCTCAAAGGTTCCGTTTCCAGGGCTTAAGCTTGAGAACTTCTTCGGTGTAAGCTGAGGCACAAGAACACAACTTTGCCAGTTCCATGTTTGCTCTCTAGTCTAATTAAAGTCCAAAAGCATTCCGCAACCTCAACTCTGAATCCCAATGCACAGAAGCAAGGCACCCTCATCCCTCTCCCCAGCATCTACGTCATGTCCGAAAGCCCTCCAAGCGCTTAGAGCGACTTTCAGAGGGAGCAATCTTAGGGCCCTGCGCGCTCTGTGCAAGCAACCTGCCTATGAATGTAAGCCCTAAACCCCAAACCCAAAACCCCAAACCCTAAACCCTAAAGCTTGGCGACTTCAGGACCTTGAATTTAGACTGCCCTACTGCCCTTTCCCAGGTTTCACCCAGCCTAGTGCCGCAGCCAAGTAGAAGTTCACCTGCAAAGGGTTTAGGGTTTTGGGTTTAGGGCTTAGGGTGGTGGACAAAGGACTCCAATGGCCTGCGGTACCCTTCCACGCATCCGCTCGAGGCGGAAAATAGAATCATGAAAAAACACCTGACTTGCACCCAAAGGTGGACTTCAACAACGAGACGGGAAGTGGACACCGGCTTAGCACCATACACCAGTGGGAAGTGGCCTGGTTTCGACATTGCAAAACTCAGGACAATCTGACCCTACAGTATTACAACAACATGTATACTGCCTCAACAACTTCGAACTGCAAGAGTGGGCGGATGCAAAGACCGATGGTGAAGAAGCATGAGACCCTCTCAGGTCTTCTCAGAGACCCTAAACCCTAAACCCTAAACCCTAAACCCTAAACCCTAAACCCTAAACCTTAAACCCCAAACCCTAAACTCCAGCCCGGTCGCAGACTGGGTCGCTTCACCATAAGGGGTCTCATCGGGCAGCGGCGGCACCCAGTCCTGTTACGCACAATGCTTACCCAAATCCTTCACAATTGCTACGCAGTTGCTATACAACTGTTACACAAATCGTACTCCATGGCTTGTCAACATGTGATATAGGGTGTTACAACTCTTTGTCGGATAGCATGATCGGGCTTCGGGCTACGGGCTTCGGGCTTCGGGCTTCGGGCTTCGGCCTGCGCAAGTTCGTCTTGAGGGCTCAGTGGGACCGTTTCAGGACACCAGTGGGAAAGACAGCTGAATTGTACGTAAACAAAGCCTCTTCGCCTCTTCACGGTAGACCCAAAGCACTTAGCCGCGCCCCCTTTGTTTTTGCACCCAAGCCCGGTTACAGGCCCCAGCTTCCGAGCCCACAAGTTCTCAACCAGCAGTATAAACCTTATATCATGAAAAGGCCTCCTAACCCCCAGACCCTTTTTTGGAGCCTAAACCCTACACCCTGAACCCTCACCCTCAAACCCTAAACCCTACACCCTTAACCCTCACCCTCAAACCATGAAGAAGGTCACCACAGAGCCCATGAAAGGCCGCGTTCTGGCCTCGGGTTTCTTCAGCGCCTCCCCAGACCGCAGGAGCTTCACCAGATACTCGCAGTCGGCATCTGCCATCCTTGGTGGGTGGCTCCAGTGCTTTAGGAAGAAAAAGGCTTTTAGTTTGGGGTGTAGGGTTTAGGGTTTGGGGTTTAGGGTTTAGGGTTTCGGGTGGGTGTTTTAGGGTTTAGGGTTTAGGGCTAAGGGCTTACAAGGTTTATTTAGGGTTTATCTAGGGTTCACCCCCACCCCCGCCCCAAACCCCAAAAAAAAACAAAAAAGCTGCCCGAGGCGCAGGATCCACGGAGCTGGCCCGGCGGTTTTCCGCAGCAGCTGCGCCCAGAACCTGGGGTTTAGGGTTTAGGGGTTTAGGGGCTTTAAGGCTCAGGGGTTAGGTTTAGGGTTTAAGGTCTAGGCTAGGGTCTAGGGTTGGAGGCCGCTTAGAACATCGGCTTTCGGGGGTCTAATTTTGGGAAGTTCGGGCCTGTTGCACTCTCTTAGCGATGTCAGGGTCGCAGGGATCACAGGGCCCTGTAAGACCGTTTTGAAAGCTCACTGCTGCTGTAGTGGTTCTCGGACTTTCTCCGCAAGGCCAGGAAACAGAAGACAAATCTACAGCAAGCCTAAACCCCAAACCCTAAACCCCAAACCCGCAAGCTCTCCCACCTAAGACGCCGAAGCCAAGACCTCCACCCTCAAAGCCGCAGCAGAGGAACTCAGGGCAGCCATCCTGGCCACAAAGTTGGATGGTCCTCGGCCAACATAGCTTACGGTCTTGGGGCTCTCCTGGTTTGTTTTGGGTTTTTTCGTGCTTTCGGCTTCGGGTTCCGGAGGCTTGCTTGGAAAAAGTTGGCTTTTCAGGAGGTTCGAGCAGCAAGTGGCTGCTGGCTCCGGGCTCGATCGGGTCGCATCACACATCCTGAACACAGTCCGAGTCTCTGAGCGACTTCGATCACATCATACGCCTGCCAAAGGCCCCCCAGCCCAAGAAGTTTAAACCTTGAAACCCTAAACCCTAAACCCTAAACCCTAAACCGCAGTGTTCTTACTTCAAAAACCCAACAAACCTTTGGACCAAAAGCCTGAACTCCAAAGGCATCCACAGCCCCAACCCCAAAACCCAAAACCCAAAACCCCAAACCTACACCCTAAACCCTCAACCCTCAACCCTAAACTCTAAACCCTAAACCCTAAACCCTAAACCTACACGGGCCATAACTGGCCCTGGAGCCCTGGACTCCACTCTTGGATCCGATCGATCCGGGTGCCTCCAGTGTGCCCACGATCGGGGAGAAGACGCTGGGTGCTGCGCGAATGTTGTGCAGGGAGGTCACAAAGGGGTCAACCTGAAAAGGGGGGCCGGTGTTTATTTTACTTATTTCAGCCATGCGAGCACAACTCAAGCTTTGCCTTTCGACTGGGGGGGGGTTTGGGCTTGGGCTTGATGTAATACAGGGGTCGGAACAATTGCTGATCATATTGCCTTTAAAAAATATACTACAATAACCACCCAAAACCCTATTTTAAGTATTAAGGCCCCTATAGTAGCTTGATGTCTTTGGGGCTCCTCTGACCTTAAGCCCCAGGGGCCTGGTAGAGCCCAGGGCCCCGATGACCACCTTTCGCCTGCCGGAGCTGGCGCTCCGCCACCTCCTCTGCCGCGGAAGCCTGGTTTAGGGTTTAGGGTTTAGGGTGTAGGGTGTAGGGTTTAGGGTTTAGGGTTTAGGGTTTAGGGTTTAGGGTTTAGGGTTTAGGGTTTAGGGTTTAGGGTTTAGGGTTTAGGGTTTAGGGTTTAGGGTGGGCTTGAAGGTTTCATGTTTGGGGGTGTTGGGGCTTGCTAAGGCAGGACCAACTTTAAGGGCGTGCCACACAACAGCAAAGAAATTCGAAGCCCCCTCTCCCATGTCATGCTCTCTCATGAGTCTTTCTATTCTTCTTGCCATTCTTCTCTGGCAGGCTTGAACGGCTTGAAGGGTGGGCATGCCCTTCGAGGTTAGGTCTGCGTGAAGCGTCGCCTCTTGCAAAGTGGTCCTTTTCAACAAGAGACTTGTCCGCATAAAGGTTTAACAACCCTAAACCCTTATAAACCCTAAACCCTAAACCCTAAACTGACATGCCGTGTTTCTTGACGGGAATACAAGGAAAGCTCATGGACGCGCTATGTGTGCTGATGGATATCATGTCGTGATCGATCTAAGGGCTGGCGATGGAAGGATTCACAGCTGCCATGCGAGTCACTTCAGTCGAACGTATGCTGGACTGATCAACAAAGTTCGAGAGGACAGAATTTCGGGATTTTTAGAAATTCACGTGCTTGCGCTGGGCAGTTGACGTTTAAGCAACTTTAGCCTCGTCGAACAGAATCTTTGTATTGTCTTTAGGTGAGATGCTGCGGTCTGCTGAACTGTGCCCTGAAAGAACGAGGAGCTTTCCTATGATTCGCTCTGCATGCAACATCTTACCATGGCCTTCAAGCTACGGCTTCGGCATCTGGGCTTGTGCCCGAAGTTTCTGAGTCTGACTTCCATACCTCCCAAACCTCCATGCAGTAGGGGTGAAGCTGTCCTGTGTCTTATCGGCCCGCTTGCTGAAACAGCCAACAACCTCAAAGCCGAAACTGCAACTCCGAAACCCAAAGTGGCCTGATGCGTTTTGCCGAAGGCAATGCCTCAGAATGTGTGTTTTGCAGGCAGGCAGCTGGGTCAAGTGTATCAGCTGGACTACACGAATGGGGCGTCATAGCTGTCTCGTGCTGAGACTTGGTGGTGCACTACCCCTAAACCCTAAACCCTAAACCCTGAACCCTGAACCCTAAACCCTACAGGGCCAGTGTAGGAGAGGCGCCATTCTGAAGCCAGAGCCTTCGAGTTTCGGAAAGCCCTAGACGATCAGAAAAAGAGAAATGGGGTGTTACGAAAACAAGGGACCCCGAACATAGACCCCAAATAGTAGGATTTCCTGAAAAAACCCTAATCTACTAATTGCTTAAGAGCCCGAAAAAACACAAAATATGTTCTTCCTGACTAACGGTAATATGGGGACTGTTCTTTTTTATTCCTTTGGGGTTCTTAAGCAAACCCTACCTTCGGAGACCACCGAATCGATTGCGAAGAGTTTGGCAACCTTGGGCCTGACGGGCCTTACCACCAAGTGACATCAGCTGTTCACGGACAGAAACGTGCCGATGGTTGAAACAAAGCATCTCCATATTTTCCCAGCGCAAAACCGCAAGGCTTCATGTGGTATCTCCTAAAGCTTTCAATGCAATAAAATTCCCTAAAATAAGCTCAGAGCGTCACCCGAACACCCGAAAACCCTTCAAAACTTCAAAGCGTCCCCAAAAGTCTCTGAAACATGAAACTTCAAAGCGCCCCCAGAAGCTTCTGAACCATGAAGCCACCCAAAAAACAACTCCAAACAATTCCAAACAGCCCCAAATCCATAATCTTACAGGAAGCCCCAAAGCTGCCGACCGGTTGCCCGTGTCTGCATCTGTCGCGGCGCGCGCCAGTCCTAAAGCCATGATGCTCCTTCGTGCTGGCCAAACCGTCGGTTTAGGAGGTCATGTGGTAGTTGATGAAAATGCCTGTTCCCAAAATGACCCCATACTTCCCTTTATAAACTCATAGGAACCCTAAATCATTTCCCAAGAGGACCTTTAGATCAACCCCACTTGAATCGCTCATGTATCGGTCATGTATCCCATCTGTTCGTTTGAAGCTGCGGACATGGCATGCGACGTGCAATGAAAACCCGAGAGACGGGCAACAAGTACATTTTTCTAGTGCAACCTTTGACCATGCCACCGGGACTCCACGCCCTCAACCCTAAACCCAAAACCCAAAACCCTAAACCCAAAACCCTAAGTATGGGGCTTAGGGATCGGGCGGCAAGCAGGCCACCACAGTGCAATCTTCTAAATCCGGCTGACTTTTGAATCAGTCTTGCTGCACCTGACAAGGCAGCCCAACAGCACCCTTTGAACTCACGCAAGACTGTTCGGATACTCACCTGCCTAAAACCATGAGCCCTGCTGGAAAGATCTCAAGCAGGGCCGCAGGCAGTGCGCTTCCGTGGCACAGACGTGGACAGACCGGTAGCATTCCAGCCTTATATTGGTGGTCTCTTTAAGTAGGGTTTCTGTTTTGTAGGGGGTTCTTACTAGGGTATCTAGGGGCCATACTAAGGTATAAGGGTAACGGATAAAGAGGCCACCGGCCTTTATAATTCCAGCCTTCTGACAACATCCTACCGTTACAGTCAAGGGCTCTTCATCAAAACCAGTCTCTTTATCCCACATGCAGACCTGCGAAAATTGCTGCGTTTGCCTACTGAACCATACTTGAAGGTTCATTGTCGGGCAATGTAGGGCTTCGCATCTTTTCAGGCTTAGCAGCCCGTATCGTCGGTGTTCAACTCAAGCTCTTACGCCATGCTAGGAAACCTGGCAATGCTTAATGAGGCGTGTGCAGGAATCGGTCGGGGTAACCAACAGGCCGCTGGGAAGCTGAAGAAAACTGAAGAGCACAACTAATCAGTCTTGGTGGATTGGAACTCACCTGGAACTCACCCAGACGGTTCATGACAGTTGTGGGTACTTACGCAATTGAACGGGTATGCAATTATGCCCTTATTCTAATGTGGGTCTGGGTTTAGGTCTTTAGGTCCATTAAACCCGCACACCCCAAACCCTAAACCACAAACCCTAGCCCTAAAATTGGGTCACATACCCTATACTAGTGAACAAACTAGCAACCTCAAGTGTTCAGCCCTCACTGATAAACCCTCAAGTCTTCAGCACTCCGCGTCCGGGTGCAAGTTCGGTGAATTTCCCCACTCACCAAAAGCCAAAATCGAACCCCGACTTTGGGGAAACATATACCCTAAAACCCTAAACCCGAGGCCCTAGAACCCTTCTGTTGCCTGACAAACAAACTTGAACCCACAGATGCCCTGCTGGCGGCCTCCAGGTGCTAGGTGGCTGCTTGCCTGGGATGCTGGCATATGGGTAGGATTCAGGATTTAGGGTTTAGGGTTTATAGGGTTTAAGGTTCACCCTGGCCCTAAACGTTAAAGCTCTCGGAAAACCTCGTCTTCCTGGTGCCCTAAACCCTGAGACCTTAGACACAAACCGCACTACAGGCACTTCAATGGATGACCCGAACGAAGCTCAGAACTCGATGAATTGTGGAAGAAAATTGGGCGCTCAGCCCCCTTGGTGTCTGGCATTGAAGGGCTCCACACCCGATGGCATCAACCCAGGCCCCATGACAGGTACCTTCTTATGGCTTCACGCGCACTTTGATGTCGGGTTTGGTGCTCGTTTGAGGACCAGGCATGGGGTTTAGGTGCTTAGGTGCCTGGTGTTGCAGGCTGACTGGTTCGATTGTTCGGGCCCAAAACTCTGCGAAGGCCTGGGTAGGTTTCAAGAGGAGCCCCGTGAGGTGTGTTGCATGCGTTGTTGCGACTCCGAAACTAGAGTGGCTAAACCCAAACCACCTGCCGACCTGTCTGTTGCAATTGTTGGGGTCTCAGGTGTTTGTTGTACGCGCTTGCAGGGCAGTCCTCAGACATGATTTTGCATGGCCTGCTGCAGCTTCATTTGGGCAATGTCGGAAAACGTCCTGTCTTTCTGCGAAAAGTTTGCAAGCAGGCACCATTGTCCTATCATTCTCCTGAACTGCCTGCACTAATTGCAAAAGCGTACACCTATCAAGCGTAAGCCTGATTATAACTTATACCCTATGAACCGTTACTGGTATCAGTCCTCACAGAACTGCATGAACCATTGAAAGAGACTGCGCCTTCAAAACACCCCAACAACCATTCAAGGGTCACTGGGTTGTGGGCAAAGGATGGCAGTGGCATTTGGCCGAGCGCACCTGAGTTGAGGATTGAAGTTTTTGGCTGCAGACTCTTCACACGCGCATGCACACCCCTCCACACACGCCTGGACAGACCCCAGGCCGACGGAAGACCCGCAGACCCACCCACCCACCCACCCACACAGAGACACGGACACGGTCACGGACACCAACACAGACACAGACGCAGACACAGACGCCGACGCAGACAGACACACAGACACACAGACACACAGACACACAGACACACAGACACAGAGACACAGAGACACAGAGACACAGAGACACAGAGACACAGAGACACAGAGACACAGAGACACAGAGACACAGAGACACAGACATACAGAGATACAAAGATACAAAAACACAGAGATACACAGACACACACACACACACACACACAAATCCTGCAAGCCAAGAACCTGTAGCCATGGTAAGCCTTAAGTCATCATGAACAGAGCTGCCAAGGCTGCTATGGCCCCTGCCGGGGGGCGCAGTCAGCGGCAGGTGCTGCCTGGGGTTTTCTCTCTCTGTCTCTCTCTCTCTCTCGCTCGCTCGCTCTCTCGCTCTCTCTTCTTCTTCTTCTTCTTCTTCTTCTTCTTCTTCTTCTTCTTCTTCTTCTTCTTCTTCTTCTACGGGGCTTGAGGAGAGTGAACCCTCCCCGCGCGCAAGGCGCGCCCAGATTGTGTCCTTGTTCTTCGTGAGACTTCGCGACTGAGGCTGTGGACATCTGTACTCTATTCCCCGAAGTGAAACTACAACAATGCCCCCGGGATGTCCCTGACTCATTGCTCTGCCGCGTGAAACGGCTGGACCCCTCGGCGCCTGTCCTTCAAGCCCCGCAAACACAACAAGCATGCTATCACCCCGGCTCCGAGGAAGTGTCATCGCCCCTTCTGTCAGCTCTCTCGCATCTCTCTCTCTGTGTCTCTGTGTCTCTGTGTCTCTGTGTCTCTGTGTCTCTGTGTCTCTGTGTCTCTGTGTCTCTGTGTCTCTGTGTCTCTGTGTCTCTGTGTCTCTGTGTCTCTGTGTCTCTGTGTCTCTGTGTCTCTGTGTCTCTGTGTCTCTGTGTCTCTGTGTCTCTGTGTCTCTGTGTCTCTGTGTCTCTGTGTCTCTGTGTCTCTGTGTCTCTGTGACGTCTGTGTCAGCTAACCTCTATCTCCTAGGGGAATGGGGGGGATAGAGGTTAGAGGGATAGCAGGATGGGTTTGGGAGGGAGGGGGGGGGGTTGGACAGATAGATAGATAGGTGGATTTTTTTCGGGGGGGGGGGGGGGGG